AAAAAAAAAAAAAAAAAAAAAAAAAAAAAAAAAGCTCTGGAAAAACCTCACCAGCATGTGCAAAACATTTAAAAAGTGGCAACTGCACAGTGAGCTCCCAGCCACACGTGTGGTCACATCAAGAGTGAGTCCAGTCTCGGCTAAACGCATCGAAAAACAAGTTTTCAGCTCTCGAAGTATGCTTTTTATCAGATGCCTGGAACTGCTCCACAGTCAAAAGTCTTTTAGTACATTCTTTGGGAGGGGGTAAACAAAAATAAATTCTAGTCAGTTTTTTCTTTTTTTTTTTTTTTTTGGGGTAGAATAATTTATACGAAGCAGACATCTTGCTATCCCGAAAGGGAAATACATTAGCACACACATTCAAGAAGAAACACTGGGCCCTGCCCAGCTTTCTTACCTTGCAGGTCACTTTTTTTTTGTTTTTTTGCAAAGCAATGGTTACAGTCGGCAAAGCTGCATCCTCCAAAAAGAATCAACGTTCTGCAGTGAACATATTCTCCCCTTATTTTTGTTTGCTTTTTGTACAAAGGCAAGAATAATATCCCTCAGTTTGAGATCCACTAGCCACCCCAAACCAAAGCTTAGCCTTTCTGCTTTAGATGGCACCAAGACAGCCAGGAAATCTCAACAGAAGCTCTGTTGATGATAAACACAGATTGAAGAAATAGGGCAGCACTGCCATTACTGCGGCTTTGTAGCTCCTACATTACATCCTGATGACTAAAAGCAGGCTATGGAGAAAAGATTTAGTTCTCCTTTCAAAAATTATTCTCTGTCCAGAAGCAGCTTTTACAAAGGGCTCCTACACAGTCCATACACGAGCTGAGTGCCGTGTCCACAGAGGTCGGTCCAAGACAAAGCCTTTGCAGTAATAGTCCTCAAGGACGGTGTTAAAACAACTGGCACTGCATTTTATCTTTTAATCTTCATCTGGCGGCTTCTGATTTCAGCAGATCAACTTTAGCAGGTCACATATTAACCACCACTCAACTCGATGGCAATAGCTAAAGACCGCCACATTAAGCAGATTTGCTAATACTGTTCAGACAAAACGGCAGCCATTGCCAATTACTGTTTAATTAAATACAAATCAAACCATAAAAATTCCTGTTTAGGCAAGACATACTATACCTCATTAAAAATAGCTCCGAAGCAACATGATCGCGATTCTAATGATTTTCAACTTATCTGCCGAGTCTAAGATCCTGTGGGGCTGTTTGTTTGCAACGCCACGCTCTGTGATTATTGAGAAAAAAAATAAACGGTCCGTACCCACGACCTCAGAGGCCAGAGGGTACAATGTTATTTCTTACACAGGAGGACTAAAGAACGAAACAGAACAAAATTATTATGGACGCCCAAAACTCAAACATCGAGTTTTAAAATACCTGTCACCTTTGACAATGTTCCTTAACTACTGATGTAGTTGATTTTCATAGCCGACAATACCAAGATAGCCTCTTGATACAACACTGAGATGTGTCTTGTAAACAAGGATGCATTCAAAATGGAAGAGGTTAAATCGTAGAGTAAAACATGAGTACATACAAAACCGCTATAAAACGGTAGCAAAAGGTAACTAAAAGACGGGCGGACAAACCCCGGGCTGTCAGAACGGTGGGTTCTGAGCTCAGCACTAGACAAACGCTACAGAAGGGGATCACAGCTCTGAGCCTGCGCTGCCCTGAGAAACCACAGCAAGGAGCGAGGCTCGCCCTGCCCAACCTGCCGGCGTGAGGGAATCTGACACTCATGCATCTCAAAGAGCCGTCTAGAGGGCAAGATGAACGCTATAAAAAAAAAACCAAGAAAAATCTACTTGCTAGATATCTGAGGTTTGAAAACATATCGGAGGGAGAAATGATCCCAAACAAATCACTGAACAATCAAAGCCTTTCATATTATAAAGCATGCTCCACTATACCGAAGTACATGGATACTGAAGTCTTAGGATGCTCGAAGTTAAAACAATGAATTCTCAAATTCGAGGAATTTTATTACTTCCTGACCTATTGCAAAATGCAACTCAAATGTGCCAAAGACAGTGCATAGGAATTACATTCAGCCACCACTGCTGAAGACCGATTTCTGAAACAAAGATCTTAAGCTGCTGCTAAGGAAAAAAAAAAAACAAAACACAACACCAAACCCAAAACCCAAAACAACTTTCCTCCACCACCCTCAGGATGAGGATCACATTCTCTGAAAACAGGTAAGACAGAACAAGTATGGTTCTAGAACCGGAGGGTATTATTAACACATTTCTGCTTTCCACGGACCGTTTCTGCTAGCAGCACGTGTTGCTAGTGGCATCCTGACAGCTCAGGATCTCCAAAAAAAAAAAGCCAGACATAGCACACGCGGCCCCAGCAGCGCGAGGTGTCTAACTCTGCAGCACAGAGTACGCAGCAGCAGTGACACGTAAGAGATTTCCAGAAGCAAGACAGATGTTCAGCTTCCATGCTCACCCAGTCTAATCCTACCACCATCTACGAATTAACCGATGCAAATATTATCAAGCATTCAACAATACCATGGCTACTTCAGCAACACCAACTGTAACGTAATAAAATGTTTCTGTAATGCTGCGTTATAATTTTTTTTTAAACCGACACGGTACTATACCCATTTTACAGACTGCTACCATGATAATTAAAAGTGAGCCTATATTAACCCCCACTTTCCCTACACTAAATTAAAAACAAGTTGCAACGAGCTGCAAACTGCTCCTGAAGTGAGCCAGTAAGAGTATCAGCAATTCACAGAACCAAGCTCCAAGAAGTCACAGCGACACCGTGCTCTGTCAGGAATGTGATCCAAAAAAGCTGGCAGTTCTACACTTGTTAGTAGATGTGTGTTTAATGAAGCAGCATATATACAAGATAACGTTACCTTAAGTGGCCTGAAAGCTGTTAATGGAGAAAAGGCGAGCAGGCTGCTCCTCTCCCACCTCCCCTCCCCTCCCCACTTGCTTTCCTAACTGCCTCCTGAGATTATCATCCTATATGGGACTTCTATTTTCCTAGGCAGGTGCTTAAGAAGCAAAAGCAATCATCTCCTCAGTGCTGTCTGTCGGGAAGTTGGCTATTACCAGCTCGAAACCATCACACACGGGCTGCTTTTCCATGCTAACTCTCTGGGAAGAAGCTATTCCCGAAGGCGAGCGCGTATCTCATCAACCAGCTCTGGCACCGCAATCTCCCAAAACTACTCGGAGAAGAGCGTGAAACCAAGGCCAAGCACAACCGACAAGCGACGTCAGCGTTTGGTTCTCTTGCATACCTATGCTGAAAGTGAAAAAGTATACAAATAATTAAGTGCATGTGTGCACATACACAACTTTTAAACAAATACAACTTGGCTTTTCTCCATAGGGGACAAGGAAAGGGAAGCAATTAAATTGCAAGTCTTTAGTGCTCATTAATTATTTTTAAACTCTAATCCTAGTCTGCAATGTTGCTCTCAAGTCCACACACTTGGTGGGCATAAAATTGGCCAACCTAAAACAACCATTAAAAGTGCTGCTATTTATATATAGCTATATATATATTTTCTAGACCAGACTAATAAGCCATCATGCAAACCAGAAAATTCCAGATGCCTGCTCTTAATTATGATCTGCAGCTTGCTTTCTGCATTTAAAAAAAAAAAAAAAAAGGTCAATATTGCACATTGTCATTTTAAGAGCTGCTGGCACAGGAACTTTACCCTGCATCTGCTGATGTCTAAAATGCGAAGCAGTGTTATGCCTCCAATGTGACCAAACAGGAAGGCAGTTCACTACAGGAGCTCGCTCCCTGCTACCTCCACCAGAAGAAGGCATAATCTTTTCTCCCACCTCCCACCGGGCAGAGGACTTTCTGGATAAACAATGCCCAAAAAAGCAACTCCGTTACATACACCCCCCCCACCCCGTCTCGGATGTCATGTCAGGAACATACTAAGTGGTTTACATATTTCAATGCTAGAATATAGAAAGATAACATCACTGCAGTAAATTAAGTCTTGGGTATTGTCACACGCTTTAAAGTGAATTCAGAGTCTGCAAAAGTGGCAAAAGGAAAACTCGGGAGAGCTCGAGTTCACCACTTATCCATAAAACAGGTGCAATATATACAGCGTACACTGTCAGCTCCTCTTGCTGTAAAGGTACAATCTTCCTCTGCTCATTAAAACTTTGAAGACAGCCAGTGAGGTTGCCAAAGCAGAGAGAGGGTCTCCATCTCTTTTCTAATGGGTATTTTACAGAGAAGATTATCTTAATTCACCAACTCAATGTACACAGTAGCAAAGAGAAGTTGCTGCCTGACACCAGATGCCCCAAGTGGGGGGGCACAGGGCCCAGCACCCACAGACCACGAGAGCCACCCAGCCTCTGAGGGGCCGTGAGAGGAAAGTCTCTCTTCTTTCATTCCTCAGTTCTCTTTAAAGGCCCCCTGAATTGTAAAAATCCTAACTCCAAATTTCCTTTCATCAGTGTTTCAGCTGGCTCTGGAACCTAATCTCGTATTAACCTGTGCACACACAGCCACCAAGAAAAGGAATGCAAAGCACAAATTTACAAGAAGGTTGATAGGCTGTGGTACCCCTCTCAGGTAGCTGTACACACCGAGCCTTACTTAGTTTGGATCTGAGTGCTTCCTCAAATTAAAAAAAGCAATAGATCTAATGCAAAACTTGAGATAAGAGCTGGTAGGAGAGATGCTACTCCCCTTCAACTGTGGGCAAAGAGCAGTAACGCTAGTGCTTGGACGTTAGTGTTCTCACCCACTGTCTGGGTCTGAAACTCCAGCATCGGGCAGCAACCTCGCCGAATACAGACACACCCTCAAAACCGCGTGTAACATCCACCACCCTGCCAATCTTCTAGCAAGTGAGATTACAGGCTTCGTAACAGGTCTCTGGCACAAGAAATGTTTGGACTTGAGCATTCAAACTTTCTGAGAACTGAAAGGAACCAATCCCACCATTCATCTGTCTCCAGACCTCGCCTCCTCAGCCAAGGGAGGGCGGGGAAGCACCCAGAAGCTAACCAGGTCACTTCTCCGAGGGGCTGGACTGTCGGTAGGCGACGCCATTCAAAAATTGTCCGTATCTCAGGAACGCAAACATTTGAATATTCCTTGAAAAAATTTCTCCCTGCAAAAAGACAAGATGTTTTTACAGCAGAAAAGACGCGGGCTGTTTTGTTGCTGCAGAAGTTATCAGGCCCCAAGGCAAAGCTGAGTGCACACACCCCTTTCCAAAAGCATTTCCTGGAATGCCAGCTTCTTTCATGATTAGATTTCTTCTTGCCAAGCACAGGAAGCAGAAGAACAGAGGGGTTTTTCCAAGAGTCACAGAGAAAAGACTTCTCTGATAGGGTTTACTGCAATCAGTGCAGACTCAGTTACTGCAACACCAACTGAAACTCCCTTTAACCATAGTGAAGTCTTCCAGACCAAGGAGGGAAGAGGAGAGACTGGAGCTTCAGCTCCTATTAAGGCGTTTGCATATACATTCCCAACCTGGGTCTTCAAAAAAGGGAATTCTGCAAAAAAGGCATTTTATTTGGGAATGGCAAAAACTATGATTGTTGATAATCTCTGTGGAATTATAAATTGCTCATTTAAAAAACATGGTTAAATATAAGTGTCATATCTTTCCCTTGCTTTGCCAATACGTCCTTCCCGTGAGTTCATGTGCTATGTCTTCTGTAGATCGGGAGAAAACGGGCCAGGGGTAGAGGGTCCATCCAGTCCAGACAGAGTAAATGGGCCATGACTGTTCAGCACTGATGGAAACTAAGAGACAAAACAAAAACGATTAGGGAAGAGGCAATTTTAATTTACTGTTCCTCTCATACCTGTGCATGTGAGGAGCTCCCTCACAAAAAAACCCAATACAAAACACAACAAAGAAAAAAAAACCAAAAACAACCAAACCCTAAACAGTCAAAGAATCTTCTTGGCTTCCCCCCAAGTAATTAACTTTTTAAATGCCACAGCAGCTGCTGTAACCAGCCTCACCAGGGTGTAAGCTCTGCACTGAACCCATAAGTGACTTTAATACGGGTTGTTGGGAAACCATGGTCTAAATTGTTCCTCAGTTAATTATCAGCTATTTATAGAGAAAAACCTCCAGCATATTTTCAGACCTACTTGTTTATTTCCTATTCTCACGGTACATATAAGCTACTTCCTTCATCTCCATGGAGATGACCGATACAAACCCAAAAGGCAACTAGTTAAATTTTACACCTTGCCTAAGCAGACTCAGGCAACAGATGTGGTTGTTCCAATTCCAAAGTGGAAGGTGAAGGAAGAGCACGAGTAATTACAACTTAACGATATATTTTTTTTTTAAATATAGGGGAATTTTTTTCTCATTATTAGTTAAACAAAAATATTTATTAAAAACAGTGAAGCTGAGAATTTCCAAACAGAAGACACAACACAGAGGTCATAAAGAACTGTGCTACATATTGCCACAGAGATCACACACACCATCTTCCTTCTTACTAGCGATGACATTTAATGAATATCTTTCAACGGAAGAGACTGTTAACAACTTATTAAAACCACCAGTACCATAGCAAAATTCAATTTCCACAAAATCTCAACCCCTGAAGTTACAAGGAGCCTGGAAGGACAGACCAAAATCTAACTACAGCACCGACTGCTATTAATTTAAAACATTTCTGAAAAACCAACATTTACTATACCCTTAAATAAAACTGGATAAACACTAAAGTTAAACACTCTCAAAAGCTGAAAGAAGGGATAGAAAATCAGTATTTGGGCTGATTCCTGCAGGTCTATTGAGGAAGGTACTGAAAAGCACAGAGAGATTGGCTAAACTTGCTGGGACTTACCTGAAAGAGTGTGTTAGCACCTTGCAACCTTGCAGGACTGAGAGGAGCAACTGGGCTTAGCGTACTCCAGAAGTGAATACTGGAGAGCAAGGGACTCGGGGTCAGCAAGATGGGAGTCTGCAAAACACAGGAAGACACTCAGCTGTGCGAAACCTGCGCCGTAAATAACACAGAGCACGTGGAAATCCTGCCCCTACAGCTGCGGAGGGCTGGCTCCAAATTTCAGGAACTCCCATTGCCTCCTTCTGCCTCCTCCCTCCTCCTCCTCCCTTCAAAGCCCCCAGCAGCAGCAGGCACCATCCGGCCCTCCCTCCCCTCGCTGAGCAACTGGCTCTTGTTTCCCAGCAGCTGCCAAGATCCCACAGCAAACCAGTTCCTCCTGCAACCCCCTGCACAGCACTTGCAAGGGACTTCGGAAAACTCAAGTCTATGAATTGAAAAAGAGCAGACAGTGGGCACGCACACACGGTCCGGGTGGCACTGAGGACGTAAGCCACCACAAAAGACATCGACATCCAGCTTCTGAATATTCCAGATGTTCCAGGTTCACGGGCCAAACACTGCACAGGGTGCCAAAAGAGCAACTCCCCTTGATTTTTATTTTTTTTTCCCCCCTCGTCTTCAGACATTTCAGTTTTCAGTCAGCAGTTTCCCTATGGTTTCTCTCTAATTCCAATTTATTACAGGAAAAAGATTAAATATATACAGAACAATTGAACAGCCTAGTTGGATTCAGTTCTCTTCCAAGTTTTCCATGAGGCATAAAAGCTTTCCCTTCCCCCACAAAGATAACAACCAAATTAAGCAGCTGTTAAATCACTATACTCTGGTCTTAAGTAAATGGCTACTAAATGAAGCAAAAGAAAGCTGCTACACGGACACCTTCGCGGTTCTCTATCTGTAAAACATTTTCAGAATCAGCCTGAAGGATAAGGGCAGCGTTTAGGGGGTTTGAAATAATTCAGTATCGCCCTGGCAAGATTTACAAAGGACCCTGCTGGTGCTGGTTTGGGTTTTGCCTCCACATGCTATCACTGACCCCACGTGTACAGCTGACGTACCACTTGGGCACACTTTGGGGTGGAAGCTAATACAGATTATGGAATAAAATTTATGTTTTATAAAAAAAAAATGGGATTGACATCCTGAGTTTCAGAACTCCAAATACAAATCTACCAACTATTCATTTTCCACTTGCCTTCCTTTACTGTTTTAAAATATAACATAATCACTATTGTTACTTAAAAAAAAAACCCAACCAACAAACAGGAAGGGAATCGGGTTACCTGAGAGAAAAGTGCTGGAGTAAGAGAAGCAGTTGGGAGAGAAGGACTCAGAATCCCCAGCGGACTTGGATCGCTGCCTGTAATGACGAGGGTAGGAGCCAACTCCAGCCCTTTGGGTTTTTTAGATCTGGAGAGGTGATTGGCAAATTCCTTCTCCAGCACAGATGAATCCTGCTCTTTGGGCTCTGGGGATTGGTGCTGAAGGCTCTGAGCCTGCTCCAGCTGCTGAGAAGTCACGGACTCTATGTCCGTGTCAATGTCCAGGTCAGGATTAGAGCTCAGGGGCGGCGACGGGGGTGTGGAAGGAACTTGCAGAGTGGGAGAAACTGAGGATATGGGTGGAGTTGGGGTGAAGCTGGTGGTTAAGTTTGGCAAAGGTGCTGGAGCTTCAGGGACAGTTAACTTGGGTAGAACAAGCGTCTCCAAGGTCTGGAGAGTTTCTTCTGATCCCAGGGGAAGAGAGGATGCGGTTGAAGTGGCAGAAGCAGTGGAAGTGGCAGGGACTGTCGAAGTGGTAGAGACCAGGGGGACAGATGGAGGCTTTTTGGAGGGCATGGTGACAAATTTGATGACAGAGGGTGTTGGATCCTGAGCAGGTTTCTTCTCTGACAGCTTCTCAGCTGGATTCTCAATCTTGATGGACCTGAAGAGTTTTACGCTGGAAGAGTTCAGGGAGTTCAGAGTAAAAGAGGAGTACAAGCCTGAGTGGATATAGTCATTGCGGCTGGAGGATTTAGCACACGTCTGAGACTTCTCCTTCCCACAGTTTTCCACGTCCTTTGGAGCACTGCTAACTTCTGCAAAACCAGTCACTTCAGGGTCTCCTTCTATACGGCCCACGACAAGTGGATCCATATTTAAAATCTCCGGATAAGAAACAAACTTGTACACAAACTTCTTACCATTCACTTTTTTAATGATATTCTGTGGGCAAGAAGATACATATATTTAGACCTTCTTCAGATTAATTTTCTTCCTACAAACACTGCCTAAAACGGACTGAGGAATTACAGTCTGTAATCTTTCATCAAAAATTGTTTCTTTTTTCTTTTTTTTTAAAAAACACCCTGCATTCTTGTCATTCAGTTACTCCCAAAGTATCATTTCCAGATCTCGCAGACAAAACACTAAAACAGGTGAGCTTAACCTAACATTAAATACACTAACAGCAGCCTTAAAACTGCCCAGCAGTTCTGTTTAACATATTTTAAAAGATCAGCTAAGAAACAAACAAAAAAAAAAATACAAATTGCCCCCATCAAAGATCACTGACCCGGGTACAGTAAGCGTCATCTAACAGGAGAACCTGCAGAATCAATGCTTACAGGTTTGCAGAATTCAGAGCTAGTACTTCAAATCAAACTACCTTTATTCTTAATAAGATGAGTGGCTGAACGAGTCAGCAGAATGTAGGCTAATCAGCTATTTCAATACCACAAAATAGCATATGTCAAACTTGTTTTGCTCCTAAGTGAAATGCCACACACAATCTGGATCGAGGAAGATTTTTATTTATCGTACAATTATTATTGCGGAGACCTCTCAGTACAAAGTCAGATTTGCGTCGCCCAATGATAAACCCCAAAGCAACAGACCACCTGCTACAGGCTGACAGGTTCCTCAGGAACTCTGGTTTATTTTTTTCTCTCGTACACCCACACAATAACAGTTGTGGGATAAACGGCTCATTGAAACGAAGGTAAGAGTCCCACACTGCGGTTCTAGTTCAGCTTTCTGACACTACCTGTGCACTAATGAAAGGCTCTCCAAGTTATTAGAAGACATTCGCTAAAGAAGAGAAGATCTTACTCTGCTGGACCTAAGCTTGCTGACCCCATTAGAAGTGCAATTCTGAGAACATGGAGAAAAAGAAAAATACTTTGGGGCTGCTTCATTGAAAATCCTTAGTTTGATAGCCCCTACGTGGAGACAACTGCAGAAAAGAGCTCCAAGTGGTGCAATATTCACCAGCTCAATCATCATTCTGTTGCTTAAACCGGAGTGCTGAGGATTTTAACCCTTGCAAGGGCACATCTTTTTGGAAAGGGGATTAGTATTCAAAGACAAATTTGTATTAGCGAAGACGTAAATCAAAGAAGATAAAATTTTGCACAAAGCTATCTTGAACCTTACAAAATAACCACTGGGGAGGAAATGCAGCACAATGATAAACGGAAGAAAAAGCCCTCTAAACATAAACTAGTACACCTTACTTAAGTCTGGGAGACAGAAGTGACACCTATCCCCTTGAAGAAAAGGAAACGGGAAACAAAGCTCATTAGGCAGAAGCTGGTAAGATGGATAAGGATTTGAGGTGGATTTACAGACTTTGTTACCTTCACATAATAGTATCTGAGAGCACGGCTGAGTTTATCGTAGTTCATACTGGGCTTGTTCTTGCGGATTCCCCAGAGTCTGGCCACCTCCTCTGCCTGCAGCAGTTTGAACTCCCCGTCGTTGGAGGTCCAACAGATGATATTCTTGTTCTGAGGCTCTTGGAGGAGTTGGAGGAGGAACTGCCACAGGGTGATAGCACTGTCCATAGCAGTAAGCTGAAATTCAGAAAGGCAGATAAGAGGCAACAGATTAAGAACAGCACATTTTCTTCGTCTCCCTAGAAGGGGGTAATGGAGCAGAGATGTTATTTCCAAAGCCAGCAAGAGTAAAAATTATTAGTCACCAGTCGTGAAAGATGTTCCCTGCAGAACAGAGAGGCTGAGAGCCAACTGCTGTCGTCTCCTCCCACATGTCAGTACTTTTCACATGGGTTATATTTAGCCTCATTTAACTAAATCAGGTCACTTTGGGTAAGTTGCAATGAGTCACTATCCAAAAAAAATTTTTTCTAAGTTGTTCCATGTTCACCCACTCCGACTTGTACTGCTTTAGGAGAAAGAGCTCAGGTACACCCAGGTAAAAACCAAACCACCCCCTCGCCTCCTCCTTTCCTTACCTGCACCCACCTCCAAGCTGGGTATCTTCAAGAAAACAGAGCAGATCAAGTAACTGCTTCAGCTACGTGAAGATGCCAGTGCAGAGCAACTCAATTTTCCTTCCGTTCACATTTCTACCGCTCCTTTGTGAGCAGTCCTCTCAGTCAACCCCCAGCCTCCTCTCTTTCGAATCTTTCTTTTCCAGATATCACCCCTGTCTTCGCTTTCATGTTCACTCTCTTAGAAAACAAAATGATTTCAAATGCTCCCTTCGCTTTTCTCTTGATTCCTGCCACGTCTTAACCTACATCAACCATTTAGGCTGAGACTTTCTAGGACTAGTATCTGTCAGCTGATTCATGCACTTCCAACATGGTTTTCTTGCCCTGAAGCTGCCGATGTATAAATTCATCCAGGACAGACCAGGCAGCAGAGAGGACATTTTTCCTTGACCATACCCAATTACACAAAACAGTACTTCCACGGATATTTTTAAGCAGAATACTAATAATCTTGTCTGCACGTGGGAAATATAAGATACGCTGTGAATTAAACCAGATAAAACGATACTAATTCAGCATCCCATACAGATTCTCTTATTCCAGAACAGAACAGCTTCTATTAATGCAGCTCAGACTTCCTCCAATGAAATAAAAACAAACCCAGCCACTCTGGAATAAGAGCCATCACGCGGAATTACACCAAAAATGTTCTGATGTGTGTAACTGCTGGATTGTTGGTTGTTTGGGTTTGTTTTTTTTTTTTTCTCCTCCCCCTACACAGTCAAACCTCAATAAAAGGCAAACCTAAAGAGCACAGGGATTTCCATCGGGGCGAAGCTGCAGCCCGAGCGACCAAACGCTCTTCACAAGCAGAAGCTCCAAAACGAGAAGCGTCAAAGTCCGACTTCAGCAAGCAGGCCCCACGCCCGTATTGTTTGAAGTCCCTGTATACGCAGGGATGGATAAGTTTAAGATTCAGTCGAGACTGCCAGTTCATCTTTGTTCCCAAAGCCTTTTATTCCAATCTCATTACTGCCCAGCACTTACCCAGCCCTATATAAGGAAGAGAACGGTCTACATGTCAGAGCTTCAGCATTTAGTCAGCCCAGTAAAAGGATTACTGCTGACAGTTTACACAGGACTGCACATTCTGATTTAAATAAGGTGCCCTAGGGCAGGTACTTTTTTTGGGCACAGCCCACTGCATTTAACCTATTTTTAAGAATACCTGCCTAATGGCGTGCTTGCATGACTACACAGGGATGTTACATTGATCAAGTCAGTTAAATTGCTGCAATTACAAGGAACAATCTCAAAATGAAGGACACCCACACCACCTTGTTATGCTGGCCTAAGGTGCTTTCCTTGGTAATTACTGTACGCATACAACTCCATGCTTGCCCAAATTAATTGCTGGGTACTCCCAAGAAAATATCAGCTGCCGAACACAGTGCTTTGAGACTCTTCCCACACTGCACCGTGGCACGCCAGCTGAACCATACGGGAACTCGGGGCCAGGCAACCACATTGAAACTCTTCCAGGACTTCTCCTCCGACTCGTATTCGCATTTGCCAATAACATTTCATATCTGCCTACTGGCAACGCAGAGGACGCACACGCCACGGAGCATCGCAAAGCGGAGCCTCATTATCCTGTCAGGATGATGCACATGCATGGGGTGTTGTGTAGACATAAGGACTTGATTCTACCATTCTGCAGAGCTGTCAATACTGGTGATATGTGTTAACAGAGAAAGAGCAGGAAAATGAAGTTGAGTGATTATTCCCACGCTACATTTATCTACAGCACTTTGAAAACCCATAAGCAGCACTGCACCAAATAGCGCTGACTGATGCAATGGGAGGCAATCACATCGAAATTAGATTAGCAGCAGAATTTCAGAGTGGCAAAGGCTTTTTTTTTTTTTTTTTTTTTTTTCCCCCTTCCTCCTAAAATTCCATGCAGATTTCACCCCAGAATTTAAATGCTATTATTTCACGGGGCTGCTTCCCTTCAGCAAGAAGTACCTCGCTGTTATCTCAAAGCTCACCCACCTCTGCGGCAGCCAGGCGTTACTGCCTAGGTCAGAGCTGGTTCTGAATCGAGCTGGAGAGGCACAATGCTGAGACACCAGCACGAAGTTCAGCAAGAGAGGGGATGTGTGGAGTGATCAAAATGATGGAAGATACACATTTTTTTTTAAATAAAAAAATAACCTTTCCCAGTGATGAGCTGTGTTGTTCTGAAGAGCATTTGCCAAAATAAATTTAAAAAAAAATTAAAAAAAGAGTTCCTGCTACCTTAATCCCAAATACTGAAGCCTTCTGGCTGGAAGGATCCTTCTCCCAAGGGCAGTTACAGACCGGACGAGGGTGTTAGATTGATCAAGCTACTCCTGATATTTCTGGTATTTACAGGCTTCATGGTTGTCATGATTCCGTCCATCATTTGGTGGATACACTGCACATCCTCAGCACCCTCTACTTTAAAAAGTCTTATGTCACACATTAACAACAGGGCAGAAAAGTTTTACTTATTCCTTGGCTGGCATAGAATGGGAGTGGAGAGCACTTTGGAATTGTTAACGGATAGGTTATATTGCATATGAGAGAATTAATGCTCCTCTTTATTAAATATTTATTGCGCGCATCTAGGGGAAGCAATGGAGAGATACCTCAGTGGAACTGGGAGGAGAGAGTTTTTTCTGAAGATTATGCACAGACAAAGGGAAGGCCAGAAAATAACCCTCCAAACTGGTCAAAGCAATGGGCTCACAGGTGGGTCTTGCCACTTCAGAGTCCAGGAATAAGCTGGGAAAATGTAATATGTATACAGGAGACAACGTTGTATCATGAATCGAGACATCTCATTTAACTTTTTTATTAAAGTTGCTTTGATACAGCCCAAGACTACATCAAAGAACTGTTGCTTCTTCAGGAAAAAGCAGAATTAAAAAAAAAAAAAACCCAAAAAAAAACAACAAACACATCACACAAGATGTAAAATTAAAACCGGTATAGGCGAGATGTGCCGTTCTCTTTGTTCAAGAAGAACCAAGTAGCATGTTAAAAAGGTTCTTCCTTCTTCAGCACCTGGGGCACAAGGGGCGGGTGCCTTTCATGAGCCTTTACCTTGCAACCACAGGGGCTGAGCAGCGGTTCGGGCTCCTCACGCTACCCACGTTTTGCAGAACATCTTCAGCTGCCCCGGACCAGCTCTGAGAGAGGCTCCTGTCCACGGCACAGCCATTCTCAGGGCCACATACTCAAAATGCATCCCACTCCTGCGCTGACACTGGAAGGAATTCAGAAGATCCTCCTGTCCTTTTTATTCAGGCATACCAGCAAAGCCCACACTCTTCAGAGATGTTACAGGCCCACTAGTTAGAGAAACTAAAGAAATCAGGATGAGGACAGGAACCCACTGTCCCACTCCTACTCTGCACTAACAATAGTGAGATGTTACTTTTTCCTCACAATTTCTAAACAGCACTGCAACTTCTTTCAAAACTACGACTCCTTTCATGAAAAGGCATCAATCTCCTAGTACAGCTCCCCGTCAGCATAAAAAGCCTAGTAGTTTGATTGCTTTTTCTTCAAGATGAATACACCAATAATTACAAGCACAACACAGCAAACGGTCTTTTTGCTGAAGGTTATTTTCCTTGTAAGAGTCTACGGAGGAAGAAAATGGTCTAATTTGAAAAGACAATGAGGGAATTAAGCGGAGAGGCAATAGTGCTGCTTGTGACGACGGCCTTTCCACTTCTGCACCGTTTGAGTACGAGGCAAAAATAGTTGCTAGAGGCAGAGGGCAGTTATACTTTGTAATGAGTATGCTAAAATAGAGCACTATTATTGTCTTGAGATCTTCTCTGACGCCTACGGATGACCCTTGAAGTATACCGAGTAGCTGACAGAATTTGGCTGCAGTACTCTAAATACAAGCGCTGCAAACTTGAGCTTTCTCGCGTTGCTGCAGCTTCGGTTTAGGCCTTGACTTTACAAAGCCTTGAGTTCACCAAAGAGCCAGGACACGAGATATGTAGATATGTATCTTTTCCGGTGACTTCTCCTCGTGCGTCTGTGCCACAACGTGCTCCACGCAACCCCTTTGATTACAGAGCCTCAAGGCTTTGCATCTTCTGTGGTGGAGGAAGAGCGCGCAGGCGCCGGGTGGCGGAGCAGACCGGAGAGCAGTTTAGGAAGTGGCATGTGGTAATCTTCCCCGTGGCCAGCAGCTATACTTACTACTGCAAAACTCACTCGAGGGTTCATCCCTTCGTGCACTGAAAGGTGAGGGACACCTCGCTGTGCCCCAGCAGCCAGCCAGGCCCTGAGAAGGCAGCAGAGGCAGGACCAGGGCAGCGGGGTTCTGCCCTAACCCCCGTCTTCAAGGTCTTCTGGCAGATTTTCTGTGCTTGGACTCAACACCAAGAAGAGCTCGAGTCATCTTTCACCTCGATTTGTTCCAACAGCCTCTTACAAGCATCTGCAGCCTGATGACTTCTACAGATGGACTGAAACAAGGAGTCAGGTCTACAGCCTCGTCAGAACCCACACAGAAACAAGGGGTGGTGCAAAGGAAAGAAAGGACGTCACCCAGACGTTGCACAGCGAGGACAAAACCATCACTACCACATATTTAAATGGCAGGGTTACAGCTGTCCAGGTACCAACACAGAATTGACACCTCAAATGATGCAGCACAGAGGTAAACACAGAGCGACACAGAAACCTCAGATCACGAACACTTTGCTTAACAGGAAAAAAAAAAAAAAAAAAAACCAAACACAAACAGCAGCAACAGTAACTTGGAGATGGTCTCGGGGACCTCACGCTTAATGGTGCAAGTCGGATGTTCAGCAGGTGAGCAAATTTAAGTCTTTACACAATCCCAGGAAAACCGGACTTGCTGTGCAGACAACACGCGAGCACCCCACACACGCGCAGCGAAGCTGAGCTGGTTAGACTTTCCTGTGCAGAACCATTCCCGTGGTTTCTTAATAGTTTAAGATGGCCATGGTGTGTGAACAGAAGGAATTTGTAGACAATAACTCCTACTACATTGTGCAATATTCCTGTGGACACGAGGCCTTGGTAGTTGTTCCAGGAAAATAAACAACAAAATAACTTCGGCTGAAGGAGATTTTTGGAGGTCACAGGTCCAACTCTTCGTTCAAAACGGGGTTAACCTCAAAATCAGAGCAGGCTTTTTAGTGTCTTTGTCCAGGCAACTAAATAAAGAAACGGCTGCCCTATTCCTTTTATTTTAGTAAAGGGACAAAGAGGTGTAACACTGCTGATGAAGTATCTAATTCGGTGGTTATCAACACACAACCAAGCACCTGTTTCATTAGCACAGCACATACAATATCCCATTACTAATAAACCTTTCCTAAAATATTTTCAAGCTCCTGGGACTGCAATTCAGCTGAACCTTTAGGATTTTTTACTTTTAGGATTTTATCAATTTTGATTCGTTTTAGAAAAAGCCTGCTACCCAACACATATGAAACCTACTGTCCAAAAAACCATCCTCAGGGTGATAGTAACTAACTCCTGACGTACTCTCATGGTGGGAAGCGTGTAAGGGTATTTAGACCTTTTCCAGACCACACAGAGCACTATAAAAATACTTCAACTACCGTCACACTCATTTTGTTAGCTTACTTCCTAAAGACAGGTGAATTACCAGTTAAAAGCCTATTATATGTGTAAAAAAAAGTTACTATTTACAAGGAATTAAACTGGAGATTCCTACTTCTACATCTGCAACATCACTGTTAAATTCCAAACCCTGACAGCTGGTAACAGTGGTATACAAATGATACCTTCTCTGAATGCTAAAATCAGGCAAGAATAAGAAAAAAAAAAACCCACCCTTCAATAAATTCTTGTCTTCCCTCTTGGCTCTAGCATTCACCACAGTGTTGTTTCCAAAGCAGTCAGGAAAATCAGCTCGTTCTGAAGGAAAAACCATGTTATCAAGGCAGGAAGCTCCTTGGAAGGAAATGCTGGAGGATGTCCTCATGATAAGAGCTGCTCCAGAGTTTTCACTGCCTAATCCCGCTCCAAGTTTGACAGTTTTACTTACTTAAAACAAACACTGCAATAGATTTTGGGTTCCCGGCTCAGAAATCAAGTTACTTTACATGAAATTAACGGGTTAGCAAATATTTTGGGGTTTAGGAGCCAGTTGTTTTAGCTTTTTAACTCCTGTCTGAGAAATGAGTACTTCATTTTCTTAGTAAGCACTTTCCCATCTTGACCACCCCTCTGTATTAGCAAACAAGCCACGAAGGAGGACAGCAGCATCAGGATTCCCATCGCGCTTACAGCTGAAGACTCGAGTTGGTCGTAGATGAGTCAAACAGCTTTTTTTGGGTTTTTTTGAATCTTGATAGAGACGATGGTGCCCGCTTTGTTATCTAACATGGCTTTGACTAGCACACCCTGAGACTTAAAAATGTTTGACCTCCTTTAACGCAGCCAGTAGAGGGATTTCAAAGCACAGTCCATGGGCTTTCTCCAGATGTTACAAACATTCTGATCCTCCATCCCTGGCCAAGGATGACTGACATCCCAGCATAGCTAGCTTCATGGACAGCACACCTCATTTCCCTGCTTTTCTGTACTTGGATGACGAGTCTCCCTTTTCTACCTCTCCCTTTTACAGGATATGAGACCGAAGAGAACATGGGAAGGTTTAGGACAAATAAAATTAAATGCCTTTGAACAGTTACTGGGTTGGTTTCTGACACTGTTTTTTTTCCGAGTAAGGCATAAAAACACTTATTTCCCTGGAAGCTCCTCTCTTAAATAGATTACACTTGCTTCCTCCTTATCTACCACCACAATGGGCTAAGGGGAATGTTTACCAACAGCAGATTAAATCAGCTTCAATAGGCACAATGCCTCTGCTGAAATTAAAAGCATCCTCGCGTAAGAGTAAGGGGTCAGGTCTCTGCATCATGCTACGGAGTCAACCCTGAACAAAAGGTTAAATGCTTCATGTTGATCCTAACTTTATTATGAAAAGGAAGTCTCATTTAAGATGGAAAAGGTTTCCTTTAATAATGTTTATAATACACTCAGCCTGGTTGCTATGACGATGGAACAACTATTCTCTACAAACAGGCGCTAAGACCCTAAAAATAAACAGGCCGACAAAAATCACGAACACGCAGCTTTGTCAGGCAGGCTGTGCCTGGTGCAGGGATCATGTTTGTTCTGAATGTGATGAAGATAAAGAAATGCTAATGACTCCATTCTGCACCCACTGAACAGAGCCCTTGCCTACAAAGCGATTCCTGTATTTCTCAGGAGCTGCTACTTAAAAACATCACTAAAGCCAGAACTCCAGATTCCCCCCCCCACACACACACACACACACACCGGGACAGGCAGCAGCACATCCGAAGTCAGTCTGTGAAAATAAGGTGAGTGTTGTGAAAGCAGCACACAGGTACACGTATATATGCGTGTCTATATGCATATAAAATAATAAAAGTGTAACTGCATGTATTTGCATACTTTCTCCATGGACTCACTTATTGATGTGGGTAGGCATCCACCCATTTCACAAGGAGTACACAAGTATTTAAAAAAAAAATAGCAGCAGAGTCGGGAAGGGAAAAAAAAAAAAAGCAACAAAACACAACCACTTGATCTCCGTCTCTCGCTCGCTCTCACATCAGCAGGGAGAGGCAAAGTCAGTCAGTCCCGAACGGCGACAGCTCTGAGGAACACACCTGTCTCTT